CACCGCAACCTCCGCCTCCTGGATTCAGGCAATTCTCCTGCCTCAGCCTCCTGAGTCGCTGGGATTACAGGCACGCGCCACCATGACCAGCTGATTTTTTGTATTTTTAGTAGACACGGGGTTTCACCATGTTGACCAGGATGGTCTCGATCTCTTGACCTGGTGATCCACCCGCGTCGGCCTCCCAAAGTGCTGGGATTACAGGCTTGAGCCACCGCGCCCGGCCTCTGATGGTGTTATTCTTGTTACCACAAGCTCTTATGTTTAATAAAGTCACATGGATATTGAATTTGCCAATACTGAATCATTTCCCCTAGGAAAAATTCAGGGTTAGTTTCCTGCGAGATTCTGGCATTATTTTTGTCAATGGATCAATACGTGAGTTTGTTGTATGTGTGTATATGTTCAAAGATACCTCATTTAATACATACTTTCATAAAGGAGAGCTCAGACAAATAAAAAATCCGATAAAGAAAAAAAATACAAAAAAATACATATTCTTGATTAGTTAATTCTGAACTCAGAGGATCCAACACATGTATTATCATCATAATATCAACTTTCTTCCACTTAGGAACACTAGACAGTATTTTAGCATTTTACTTTAGTGTCACTTTAAACAACAAAGTTATCAATAAAAAGCACAAAAGTGTGAATATGTGCCACTAAATAGGCTGTGAAAAGGACACTTATTTTCACTGTAAGAACCAAAATAGGAAGTGAGGTTGTGGCCTTGTTCAACCCCGACTGGAAACATACACCTAAGGTAACTCAAATACTTTACCACTCTACACGTATCTGAAAATGACTGAGAAGATGCCTCAACTATTTATTTTACAAATAAATTTTAGCAATTTTTTGGAAATATGGGCTCTGAGAATAAGGATCTACTGTAATTCCTTCTTTAGAATGTCTTTCTTGATTAGGGCTACTTGACAGAAGAACCAGCTCTTGTCAAGACATTTCTTCCTCATCCTTGAGGTCTTCATTTAAGTGTCACTTTCATGCTGGTCTCACTTGAGGCCAAGCAAGATGGATCACTTAAGCCAAGAGTTCGACACTGGCCTGGCCAACATGTTGAAACCCTGTCTCTACTAAAAACACAAAAATTAGCTGGGCTTGTTGGAGCATGCCTGTAATCCCAGCTACCCTGAAAGCCGAGGCACGAGAATGGTTTGAACCCAGGAGGCAGAGGTTGCAGTGAGCTGATACATGCCACTGCACTCCAGCCTGTACTACACAGTGACTCCGTCTCAAGGAAAAAAAAAAAAAAGCCGGGCCCGGTGGCTCTCGACTGTGATCCCAGCACTTTGGGAGGCCAAGGCAGGTGGATCATGAGGTCAGGAGTTCAAGACCAGCCTGGCCAAGATAGTGAAATCCTGTCTCTAGTAAAAATACAAAAATTAGCTGGGTGTGGTGGCGCATGCCTGTAATCCCAGCTACTCAGGAGGCTGAGGCAGAAGAATCACTTGAACCTGGAAGGCAGAGGTTGCAGTGAGCCAAGATTGCACCACTGCACTCCAGCCTGGGTCACAGAGTGAGACTCTGTCTCAAAAAAAAAAAGGAAAAAAATGTCAATTTCTCAGAGTCTGGCATTACACAGACTAAAATCAACTTAATCAAATATCAATATATTTGGCTCCTATATGTCCTATAGAATAAACATATATATACCTTTTTGCTTTTTTTCTTGAGAACTTAGGACATTGAAGATTCTTTGTGTGACTGCTGGGAGAGTGTGGGCTAACTAATAACTGGACATGCAATAGTTTCTCTAACTTCCAGACAACTCCAGCTGACTATGATTTATTCCTTACTTTCCTTTGCCCTTATCCCAGCAATCAGAACCCTGTACTCACTAAGGCAGATGGATTAATGCTGTCATCAGTGAGGTCTTCCATGAATCTCTCCAAGTTTTTGCCACTTGATTTCCATTTTTCTTTCACACTGGCCTTGTCATTGCAGTAGCCACCAATCATAAACTGCTCCAGGACTAATAGAGAAATAATTTCATCCTTACTGTGCTTTTCTGGTTGCAGCCATGAATGAAAGATCCTATAAAGTCTTTGCAATTCCTGCCTTGCATATGAATTATTGCTGTCTTGCAATGAATTGAGCACAGTTCTTGAGAACTCAGAAATCCCATCTTCTGTCTGAACGGCAGGTCCTTGGCTTTGTTGAAACTCTGAATTTCCTGATCTAAGATCATTCTCAGATGGTTCACACTGAAATAAGGTTTTTTGATCTAAAGCCATTTTCAGCAATTCTCAGAGAGACTTAATTTTGATGATTCAGTCTCTTCTCTTGTGTCTCTGGGAATTGGTTTCAACAATTGGTGGATTCTTTAAAATGGCAAGCTAGAAATAGAAAAGAGATAAGTAATTAATTGCACCACTGGCATAATTAAAGACAAACAAATCAACCAAAATGTTAAGCCTAGATGATTTTATGGATGAATTCTACCAGACATTAAAAAGAGAAGTAATTTGCCCAGTGCCATGGCGCATGCCTGTAGTCCCAGCTACTCGGGAGGCTGAGGTGGGAGGACCACTTGAGCCCAGGAGTTCTGGGCTGTAGTGTGCTATGCTGATCGGGTGTCCACACTAACTTCGGCATCAATATGGTGACCTCCCAGGAGCGGGGGGACCACCAGGTTGCCTAAGGAGGGGTAAACAGGCCCAGGTCGGAAATGGAGCAGGTCAAAACTCCTGTGCTGATCAGTAGTGGGATCGAGCCTGTGAATAGCCACTGCACTCCAGCCTGGGCAACATAGCAAGACCACGTCTCTTAAAAAAAAAAAAAAAAGAAAGAATTCAAATTTTACATAAACTCTCCCAGAGCATATGAGGAAACACTATGCACTTTTGTTATGGAAGTCAGCACTTCCTGATAATAAAATCTTGCCAATACATTAAAATAATTCAAAGCAAAATATTTGAAAATCAAATCGACTCATAAGAATACATTACAAATGGTGTTCATTTCCAAAATGCAGGAAGTTTGGATTAAAATTCAAAAATCAATGCAATTTACTTCATTAACAGGATATGGATACAAGAACATAATATAATCATCTCAATGAATGCGTTTAAAATGTCAGTGTTCATTCCTGAAAAAGGCACTTAATAAACTAGAACTATTAGGAAAATCCTTTGCTGGTCATGATGGTTCACTCCTGTAATCCCAGCACTTTGGGAGGCAGAGGTGGACGGATGACTTGAGGACAGGAGTTCGAGACCAGCCTGGACAACATGGTGAGCCACTACCTGTACTAAAAATACAAAACTTGCCGGGTGCGGTGGCTCACACCTGTAATCCCAGCACTTTGGGAGCCTGAGGCAGGTGGATCATCTGAGGTCAGGATTTTGAGCCCAGCCTGACCAATATGGTAAAACCCCATCTCTGCTAAAAATACAAAAATTAGCAGGGCATGGTGGCATGTGCCTGTAGTCCCAGCTACTTGGAAGGCTGAGATGGGAGAATTGCTTGAACGTGGGAGGCAGAGGTTGTAGTGAGCTGAGATCATGCCAATGCACTCCAGCCTGGGTGGCAGAGCAAAACTCCATCTCAAAAAAAAAAAAAAAAGACTTAATCAGGTGTGCCTGTAGACCTAACTTCTCTGGTGGTGGAGACATGAGAATCACTTGAACCCAGGAAGCGGAGGTGGCAATGAGCCAGGATCATGCCGCTGTGCTCCTGCCTGGGTGACAGAGTGAGGCTCTGTCTCAAAAAAAAAATATATATATATATATATATCCTTAATGTGATAAATATTTTACAAAGTAATTACAACAAAAATTATTAAGTTTTCTGTTTAAACTACTGTCTCTGTGAAACATTGGATTGCTCCCTAATCAGTGAAATAAGGAAATACAATATTTCATACTATAGAGTCTTGATTTTGTTTACAAAAAGTATTCAACAAATTTGGTGGGAATGTAAATCAGTTAACCTCTATGGAAAACAGTATGGAGATTTCCCAGAGAACTAAAAATAGAACTATCATTTGATACTGCAAACCTACTACTATCTACTCAAAAGAAAAGAAATCATCATATAAAAAAGACACTTGCACTCATATTTTGATTGCAGCACTACTCAAAAGAGCAAAGTCATAGAAGCAACCTAAGAGTCTCCCAGTGGTTGACTGGATAAAGAAAACGTGAAATACATACTATGGAATACTATGCAGCCATAAAAGAATGAAATTAGTTATTTGCAGCAACCATAGATGGAGCTGGAGGCCATTATCCTAAGTAAACTAACTCAGAAACAGAAAACCAAGTATCACATGTTCTCGCTTATAAGTGGAAGCTAAACAGTGGGTACACACGAACAGACACTGGGGACTCTAATGGGGGGGGAGGGAGGGAAATGGGTATTGAAAAATTATCCAATGGGTATAATGTTCACTATTTCAGTAATGGGTACACTGGAAGCCCAATTTCCATGAATATTCAAAATACTTTTATAACAAACATGCACATGTACTCCCTGAATCTAAATAAAATAAAATATTCAGCTGGGCGCGGTGGCTCACGCCTGTAATCCCAGCACTTTGGGAGGCCGAGGCAGGTGGATCATGAGGTCAAGAGATCGAGACCATCCTGGTCAACATGGTGAAACCCCATCTCTACTAAAAATACAAAAAATTAGCTGGGC